GAAATGTATGCAATCTCATAAAAAGTAGACAATGAAACCACTGAGAACGTATCTGGAGTGAAGCTGCTCAGCTGTGCCGTATCATGAGAACACACAAAAATCAACTACATAAATCATGGTCAAAATCTTCTAAAATTGTGTGACTTTCAATCCTTGCCATTGAACTTGCTCACTTGAGTAGAAATTATTTAGGGGCAACCCAAGAGCAGAAGGCAAACAGAATTATTTAATTTTTTTGCTTTTTGCTATATAGAGCAGTTGGAGATCACTTGCTTGTGTGGTATTCATAATCTGGGTATCATATCATCCTCCCCTCCCTGTTCTTTCCATTACTAGGGAGGAAAACACAAAAAACAGTAAAAATTACACATGATTAAATAAGACAGAAGACAACCTTTAGTGGTACTGCAGCTGCTGGACTTTGTTCTAGTGAGTAACCATAATGTCCAGCTAAAGTACATAGGAAAATATGTTTCACCTGGAAATGAATTGTCTTTGTCACGGAATGTCCAATGCTGCTGAGTTTTGACATGGACAAAGCTTGGCTGAACTTCAGTTCTACTCCTGCTGTGAGAAGGGTCAAATTCTACACCCAGAGCTGGGAGAGCCCTGTCTGAGCCTGCTGCTCCAGCCATTTGTATTCCTCCAGGAAACTCTCCATGGATTCCACGTACAGCAGAGGGGCCAAACTTTGGGAGAAAACAAAGCCAAGCCCCTGTTTGCCATTCCATCTTTGCTGGAGCTTCCTTGTGACACCTTTGTGTCTTCCCCCATATCTAGTTTGAGGCTTAAGCAGCACCTGCTGGTGAAAACAAAGGCTATGGAAGTGCTGAGCCATCCTCCTGGAAGAACAGGTTTCATCATTACTCTGAGCTCTGGGAAGTTGTTCTAGAATGAAATAAGCTGGGCTATTACTGTTTGGAGTAATTTTGTCAAAGTGAGGACTGGCTCGTTCCCAGCTCTGTGTGCTGAAGGCTGAGTGTGACCCAGCTGATGTCCATGAGCCTGGGAACTTTCAGTGGCTAAATTTTGGAATTGCAAATTAATCCATTGACAGAATTAGTTAACGCTGTATCTTCCCACTACAGAAAAATGGTTATTTTTGTATAGTAGAAACCCCAATGTTACTGTTCATATACATTGGTTTTTGAAAAGAGGTAAAAGAAAACAGGGGAAAAAACTGGAATGCCCTGAGTTGGGGAACATGTTCCACCACATACCATCTCAGGTAATTATGCATAAGGAAGTGTCACTTGTGTGTGATATCTAAGTGGAACAGTTTCTGTTTGAAGTAGCGCTGCTGTCAGAGACAGCAAGGGAACTTCCCTAGTTTGGTACTAGGAAGGGAAGGATTAGACTAATGATTTCCCTTCTCTGTGGTAACTGAATGCAATATAAAGTTAAGTACCTGGCAAAGGATACTTGAAAAGAAATGTTATCCTTTTTTTAATTTTTTCAGTTTAAAGCCAAAATGGACTTGGCAGCACAGGGCCATGGTCAAAATGTGTGACCGGTACCATTTCCAAAATGCAAGAACCAACTACTCAACTTCAGAATATTGCCACAAAAGAGGTAATTGAGTTACATTACACGATTTTTAGTAAAGCTAAAAGAAGGGAGATTTAGGTTCGATGATAGGAGGAAATTGCTTATGGTGAGGATGGGGAAGCCCTGGCACAGGGCACCCAGAGAAGCTGTGGCTGCCCCATCCCTGGAAGTGTCCAAGGCCAGCTTGGATAGGGCTGGGAGCGACCTGGGGCAGTGAAGGGAAGGTGTCCCTGCCCATGGCAGGGAGTGGCACTGGATGAGCTTTAAGGCCCCTCACAATTCAGGCCATTCTATGATTTCACAATTTTTAATTTATAAAGTATCTAACATTCATAAGACTACTGGAAGGTGGCCAAAACAGCACAGTATGAGTATGTTAACATTTCTCCTCATGAAAATGGACCTGAATCATCTGTTAGACCCCACATTTTCCTGACAAAATAAAGCATAAGTCATCACTACTTGAAAGATTCAGATAAGAGGAATGGTGATGACTGGAAATACCATTTGGAGCTAAGCAGCATATGGAAGGAACAGGAATTCTGCAGTGCCCAATCCTGCTCAGTATTTATCTGGATAAGTAATAACATGATTTGCAATTCCAAAATATTTTCTATAATAAGAAAATAATTTTTTTTCATGGTAATGGATGTTCTTTTATTCCAGAAATAGGATGGATACTTCATCAAATGGTTTGTTGTCCCTGGGCCTCCTGTAGTGATAGGATGGGTGCGTGGTGCTGCAGTGGAGTTACAAAGGCTGTACTATTTTAATGCGGAAGGATGTGGTTTGGGGTTGGTTAATACACATTGCTTGACATATTTACAAGTGTCAGATTGTGTTCTCTGTTTATAAGACTTGTGCCAAAAGGAAGGGGAGTAACATGGGCCAAAGTACTTCCCTGATTGCGGGTGCCAGGATGTAACAAGCAGTTTTGAGGCTGTGACACTTAGACTGAATAAATTGCAATTGTAACTGAACAGGAATAATTTGTATTTGAAAACATTTTTCCTCACTGTATAGGCCGAGTCTTTGCTAGAATTCCTGCTTGGTGTGGCAGGGAAGGGATTGGATGGATCATGGATTTGTCAGAGGAAACACACACAGAGGAAAAATTCTGAGCTGGATGGAAATTTTCTTTTAGCTTAAATTCCATCTCTCACTCTGTGTACGTAATTCAGGTAAATGTGATGCCTGTTTGTGGGAGAGATTTGTTACCATGAGGTAAATCCAAACAAACTCCAGTCAGCCATTGCAAGAGATGCTAATCTTAATTTATTGCCAAGAAAAGTAAATTGCAAAAAAGACACTTAAATGAGATTAAAATCACGATAAAGAAAGCTGCTATTGAGCACAGAGTGAGAACTTTTTCCACTGAATCACATAATTGAAAACGTGCTGCATTTCTGTATTAAAGCTTAAGCTGAAATGCTCAATATCTTCACCTGTTAAGCACAATATTTGCTTTCTACCACCAGTGGAACTCTCCAGTGAGGGAGAAACTCAGGCAGGTGAGCCTAAATCTGCTTCCACTGATTCAAATGAACAGGTCATTACAGTGAAAACGTTATTTGTGATGAATTATCTGCTTTAAACCGAGTATCTTCTTGCAGGGTGCTGACTTAAGAGTTGGACTCCATGGTCCTTGTGGGCCCCTTGCAACTCAGGATATTCTGTGGCTCTTCTCCAGACCATGATTACTTTGGGAATGATTTTCATTTGTTTATCTAACTGAGGTGTTTTCGAGCTCCCTTTATAAAAACTAACGTCACCCACCGTCTTTGAAGCTGTTTCAGGTGGGTGCGGTGCAGCTCCGGGGCTGTGCAGAACATGGGGTTAAACTTGGCTGTGAAGGGGAGCTCGGCGTGCCCTGATGCTGCAGCGGCCATGAACGAGTTTTGAGGCGTTTTTAAAATTACCTTCACTACTCTCAGGTGCTGGGGAAACTCTCTGGTGAGCCGTGGAATGGCCAGGACCGTGATCCCCGGTGACTGGCATCCCGAGCGGGACATGGTCCCCGTGCCACAGAATATCCCAAGGTGGAAGGGACGCACCAGGGTCATCCAGTCCCGCTCCTGGCCCTGCCAGGGCCACCCAACAATCCCATCCTGTGCATTCCAAGTGCACCTGGAGCTCTGGCAGCCTCGGGGCCGTGCCCATTGCCTGGGGAGCCTGGGCAGTGCCCGAAGGAAAAGAAAACCTTTCCCAAAAGTCTGGGTAGCGTATCTGTTCTATTTGCTTTTCCTTAATGGTTAATAAGAGAACTCTGTCTGGTTCAGAGACAGTAAATGATAACTTTCCTTATCAGTTCTTTATTTATTTGGAGGAGAAAAAAAAAAAAAAAGCGCCCCTTTGGTAAACTTTTAACATCACAATGTGAAACTCTGTTTCACCTTTTCCAGTAAGCCACTGGTTTTCTTACGTCCTGTAGTACTTCGTGACTTTTAAGTGGTCGCCGGGGAGTCCGTTCAGTGCCTGACCACCGTCTGGGGGAGAAGCTTGTCGTGCTCTCCAGCCTGGCTCCGGCGGCAGAGGCGCAGCCGCAGCCCGGGGCGCTGTCAGCGGCCGATCCCGCTCCGAGGGTCGGCGCCCGGAGCCGGGACCCCCCCGCGGCCCCGCCGCTCCCGAGCGCCCCCGGCGGGCGGCGGGCGCAGCGCAGCGGCGGCGGGAGGCGCCCCGGCGCCGGCGCCCCGCCCCCGGGCCCGCGTCACGTGGTGCGGCGCGGGCCAATGGCGCGGCGCGGTGCGGGCCCGGGCGCCATTGCTGTCAGAGCGCAGGAGGCAGAGCGGGCGCGGAGCTGCGGCCGCCGCGGGCACGGCCGGCACAGCGCGGGCGGACAGCGCTCACTGCCCGGGCCGGGCCGTGCCCGCACCGCCGTCACCCCGCGGGCAGCGCCGACGAGGCGGCGGCGCCGGCGGCGGCAGCAGCGGGAGGAGGAGGAGGAAAACACCATCCACGCACAGCCAGCGGCGGCAGCAGCGAGGGGCGGCCGGGCGGGGCGGGGAGGGGACACAGCGCCCCCCGCCCGTCGCCGCCTCCGCACGGGGCCGGGACCGGGACCCCCCTTCGCCTCGCCCGCACCGCGTCCCGCACGGACCCGCCGCCCTCCGCGCGACCCCCGGCCCGGGGGGGCCGCACCTGGACGCGGAAGGGCGGCCCCGGGCCCCCCCTTCCTCCTCTTCTTCTCCCGGCCTGGAGGAGCGGGGGACGCGTCCCCCCTGCTTACACCGGAGAAGGGCCTCCCGGCTCGAGGATTATCGGCGCGGGGGCGGGTAGCGAGGAGCAGCGCGCCCGCCCCGGCCTCAGCGCGTCCCCTCCCGGCCGCGGGGCCCCGCGGGGCCGAGGGGCCGGAGCGCGGCGGCCGCCCCGGGCAGTGACGGGGGTCGCCCCGGGGGTCGCCCGCCTTGCCCCTCGCCCCCCGGCCGTCCCCCCAGACATGCCCCGCCGTGGCGGCCCGGCTCGCCGAGGATCATGACTGCGGCGGCGAACTGGGTGGCGAACGGGGCCAGCCTGGAGGACTGTCACTCCAACCTCTTCTCGCTGGTGAGTGAGCGGGCGGGTGGGTGCCCAGGGGTGGCTCCGCGCCGGGTTTGCCGGTCGGGAGCAGCTGCCGGGGGTTTATAGGCAGGGCCCGGGGCTGCTCCTGCGCTGGCCCCTCCCCCGGCCCGGTCCCCGTGTTTATTTTGCTCCTTAGCGTGGTTTGCTGCGGGTCCGTGTATCGCGCTCGCAGCTGGAGAGCGGGGAGGGGACGGCTCTGTGTCCCCTGCACGACCATCTTCCCTGGGTAAACAGGCTCTTCTCCCCGCCTCCCTTGGCACTCCGTGCCCTGTGTGCTTTGTGCCACCGAACCGGGGGGTTTTCTCTCCTCTCACAATGACAAACGCCATTTCAGCAGCAGCGAACGCTCATGTAGTGTGATCGTCTGTCGGACTTAGCTCTGGGCTCCTGTGACGGCGTGTCAGCTGCTGTTACAGCCTGCTCTCCTCTTTGCACACATCGTGCTTGGGGGCAAGAGGTTAAAAAAAAAAATCCAAACCTTTAAATTTTTTCTTCTCTGAAGAACAACAGCGGCTGACAGTAGTGTGCCGGATTATTTGCATAGATGCCGTCTGCCCATCTCACTGGGAACTTCCGACGTGGATTGCGTGGTTTAATGTTGCGAAAATCACGGTATCAGTTTTGGCTGGCTATAAATTGGCAATTTAAATTTAAAATGCGAAAACAATTTGTGCGTAATGGCAAAGTTATTTGGAAATACCGTGCTTTATTTTACCTGGCACGCACAGGAACATTATCCCTTCTGTCTGGGCAACAGCTGAGTGAGCAAGAGGGCTGCTGGATCATCGGGAGCCTTCCCGTGCTACAGGGATAATGTCGGAGGGGAGGAGGGACTTGTTCAGTGCGTGGTGTGGTGGAGTTAAAACCTTGTGATGCAACTTTGGGGGTAGCATGTGTGAAAGGGTTGTGGTGGGTGCCCCCTCCCCGCAGCAGAGCTCTGCCAGAATTGGAGGTGGGTGCATATGTTCTTCTGATGGAACGGAAGAGATTGTTTTTAGCTCCCTTATGAAAATAAGGAGAGAGGAAAAAAAGGAAATTACTTAGAAATCAAATGATCAAGCTCCTTGTTTTATGCTTTTTAGCTTTATTGTAGTACATTTGTTATTTTTGCCTCTTTTTTTTTTTTTTTTTTAATTTTACATATGTTTGGTGCATATTTTGCTCCTACCTTCTAAGAATCTGGGACAGGAGCCGTAGTCTTCCACTTCTGGAAAGCTGTCCCAAGAGCTTGTTCTGTGAGAATGATACATTTCTTACTTCGGCTTTTTATTGAACTGTTGTGTTATGTAAGTTTGTATCGGTGTTTCTGTGTGAAGGCACGTAGTAATATTTATAAATATGTAGCAGTGCTCTGTGTATCGAGATGCAGGAAGGGTGATTTGGGGGATTGTTATGGTGATTTTGACTACGCTGCGCTTAGCCAGGGAGGAAAATAAATCGGGAAGCATGAAGGGAACAATCGTATCTGATTGTAGAAGGGAGGCAGTGGAGGGTTTGCTCCTCGCAGAGTTGTGAAGTCCCCGTTCATTAATGCAGACTGGAGTGTGTGTTTGGAGAGGCGGAACTTCTCCTGCAGTTGCAATCTGCAAATCTGTCACTGTTAAAAATAATTGTTGGCATGCAATTAGCATAAATTATAAAGTGAAGCTATTTCATAGTTATTGTGGTTTGGTTGCTTTTTTTTTTTTCTCCCACCTGACTAGGCTAGGGAAATGTTCCGTTTTAAATGGGTGTGCAATATCACTGAAATAAGTTTAACGAAATTCTTTTGCAAGTGGCTTTAATAATAATGAGTTTAATGTGCAACCCTTTAATCTCCCGGGTAATTTCGTGGGAGGTATCTGTGCCTTAATGTGGTGCTGTGTATGAAACTCTTTTTTATTCTGGCTCTACAAACAAACATAAAAAAAAAGCCAAAAAAGGAGCCAAGTAGTAGTATTTTTAAAATGCAGTCTATGTGAAAACTATTTGCAGGATTTATTTCATATTGTGTTAGGTTTTTTTTTGGAAATGGAAATGTTGACTGGAAATAGGTGGCCAGCACCATTGACCCTTTAACCTCAGATTGTCATATTAATTTCAAAATTTATGAAGTGTTAAAGCTACAGTAGTCTGGATTGCTAGTTAGAGAAGCTTTTGCTAATCATTTTTATTTTCAGTGTAACAGAACAAAATCTAAACCAGTAGTTGGTGGGAATCCATTCAATTCTTTAGGAGCGAAGTAGATTACAAATATTTTGAAAATTGATTCTGCTATTAGAAGTTGGGAGTTTTTCAACTGCAGGCTTTGTTTTGTGTGTGAATCACAAAGAAATGTTCGTGACTGGAGAATTACAGTTCTGAAATAATTATAGTCTATCATGATACTGTTTGTTCATGGTTAAATAATATTTCTTGCCACAGACATTTGTTTTGTGGAAGCAGGAATGCTGTCTCCCTGCCCTGGAGAAGCCAGAGCTCTGTGCCAGCTCTGTCTGGTTGCTGTGGTGGATTTGGGTTGGTTTAACAATTCATGGTTTCTGTTCTTCTGTCAGCTGTAGGACCCACTAGAGAGGTTAGGAGCCTTTGCTGCTTCGGAACCTTTTGATGGGAAGTGTTTTCTAAAAGCTTTTAGTAACTGATTCTCTTTTATCAATGATGTCCAAAAACTGTGGAGGCCCTCAGTGCTCTGGGCTCAGAATGTGTCACTGGAGGGGAAGGCAGGGTCTGAAGGGAAGGTTTTAAAGTTACTTTTGACTCTGCAGGTGCTGGGGGTGGTGCTGGGCCGGCAGAGCTGGGTTCCACAGCGTGTCCCTCTGGATGGCAGCATTGGCAGCACCAGTGTGCCTGTGGGGTTCTGGAAAATGGGTTAATGTCAGTGTGCTCGGGCAGGCAAAATCCCCCAGCCAGACTGCACAAAGACATCCCCAGTCCTGCTCCAAGCACGGAGCCTTTCTCAGTAAGGTGATGGAAGGGCGGGTTTGCATCTTTGTCATCAGAGTACTCCTCAAATAACTTGTTTAATCTGCTAGGTATAATAGCCTTGCTCATTAAAAATACACTTTCTGTCTGAATTTGCTGATCCTAGCACAACAGTAGGAAAAATTGTATTTATCCTCACTGTTTTTGCTGTAGTCAAAATGTCTGCTGGTGCTTCTGAAAAGAATGTCTGTTTTGATAAACAGTATTTAATAAGCCATTGTATGGGCCAGTTTATTTAAATACTAATTAAGAGCTGTCTAATAACTATTTAGAGACAAAATGTTCTGAGGTAATATGCTTTGTGTTAAAACTTCTGCCTCAGCTGGCAAGCAGTCTTCCTGTGAATAATCCTTAATCATAAAAGTAGTCTTACTGAAATTAATTTGACTTTTCCTATGAGTAAGGGTTACTTATATGACAGCGAGGGCTTGCATAAAGGTGTTTCCTCAACTATATGGCTTTGCTGCCATGGTGGATCCAAAGGCACAAGTCAGTCTCGGAAAGTTGGGATGAAGTTGCATAACTCTGAATATACTGCAGCTGGAAAGAGTACAGCCAAGGGTGTCAGGAATGACCTGAAATTTGCAGGAGCTTTCATGAGGGAGAAAGGTTTGGTACTGTAGGAATCTTCATGCTAGAAAAGACAAGACTGTGTTCTTGGGAAATGAGACCAGGTTATAGAAGGTGCTATGGAAGATGTGCCATGTTCTTGTATAAATGCATTCCCTACAGAAACCTGCTGCCGGAAGGGTCAGGGCAGTGGGAATTGTTTGTTTTCGTTTAAAAGGCAAAGTTACAAACAGTGAAGGCAGTCGCTACTGTTGCTTTTTGCAGTTCACATCCAGGAACAGAAGTTGTCCCCTTTGATCAGTGAGGTTTGTTGACGTGTCCAGAATAAAATAAAAGGAATTAAAGCAACCTGAGGTGGTGTTTGGATTGTTCTCCTGAAGGTTCTTCATGGCATCAGAAAGTGAAGGGTGCAGAGGCTGCTGTGAGCTATTCCTTGGTGTTGCATAACTTTCAGTAAAGGACTTCATAGTAAATGTTGATTGCTCAATGCCTTCAGTAGTAGTGAATTAACCAGTAGTCCTTGCTTGTTGTGTTTTCATAAATGCAGTGCTCCGAGCAGTGGGCTGGGATTTTGGCATGCTGGATGTTACAGCACTGCACAGTGTCTATCTTGCTTGTTTGGAATTTTATGTAGGTGTGAATTTACATGCATAAATAATTAAGAAATGGAATTAACCTCTCAAGTTGTGCAAAAGTATTTGATTCTCTAGTTATCTTTATCCTGAATTTTATTAGGTAACAAGACAGAAGTAGAGAGATGACATTAGAAAGCTTGTTCACTTCTTGCTAATAAAAGATTATTTCAGGTTTTAAATCACTTCAGTGGTAGGTTTTTATTATGTCCTGTCAGAGTATTTGACAGTTTAATGAGATGTGCCAGGGAGAGGGTTGGAAAAGAACAGACCCAGATTTGCAAAGAGATTGGGACAGTGATGTTCAGTCAGCGTGCCCAGCTCCAGCAGGGGACTGGAGGGATCTGTTGGGTAACCAACCTTTTCAGAATATTCCCAAAGAAAATGGAGGGTGCAGGAGTGACATTTGCAGCTCAGACTAGGTGTGCCCAAGCTAATCACTAAGAAATATTTGAGTGAGGTTTCCTTGATATCCTGAGTATCTTGTGAGTGTGCACATTTCCTGGAGCTGGGAATCCTTCCCCAGAGACTGTGTCCTGATTCTGGTGGTGTGATGGGTGTTGGGAACATCAACATAACAAAGTTAACACTCAAATATTAGGGTGATGTATTAAAAAAAGTCCTATGTAACTACATCTTAGCAACAAGAATTTTAATTTACTGTAACACTATCTGGAAATAGGTTTTTCTATTTCTCTGCATTTTTAATACAGAATTGACATCATAACCCCAGTTCTCAAACACTCTCCCCACCCTGACTCATTTGATCTTGAATTTTTTTGCCTTCTTCTGAGAGTGCTTCCTCATATGAAAGAATAAAGA